GTTCCCTGTTGCAGGGATGAACTGTCCCAAATAGGCATAGTTTTGCACCTCTCAGGTCCAGGTGAGTTCAATAGATTCCAGCCAAAAAATATATGAAAACCAAAGAAAACAATGAAAATTAAATTGTAACAAAAGAAAAGCAGTGAACAACAAAAGTAAATATACGCAATCGAAATTAAAAGAAAATTATTTTCCTTATTTCAGCGGAGGCTGCGCGAACGGCTTTAGATTGCTAGCTAAGTGTCCCTTCGTCAGAATAACTGTGATAATATGTAGTTTATGTACTACATGTGTAATGTATCATGTTAAAGGTGGTTGTCTGCATAACTGCATGGTGAAGCTAAGAGTTTTTGTCTGTTTTGTAGAGGAATCCCGCAAATGCCTGAAGGTGGGCGACATCGTCTGGGCAAAGCTGAAGGGTTACTCTTACTGGCCGGCGAAGATATTCGAGCTTGACGACAAGAGTGCATGCGTGACGTGGTGCGGTTCGACCAAGTACGGCTACGTCGGCACGCGCACGCTGGACTCGTTTCACCGCATGTTCCCGAAATATTATAAGTCATCGCAGAAAGGTCACTACCAAAAGGCAGTGGCGGCCGCCATTCTCGAGTGTCGAAATTTGGGGATCCAATATGACTTTGCCCTCTCCAGTCAGTGCCTGCAGTACCTGCGGCAGTTATCCGAGAAACCTTCGTCGACCTCGATGGGCTACCGGAACAACAAGCTTGTTAACCGGTCGTTAGAAAGGTCCCGCCGAGAGAGCGACCAAGTACTAGTGTCCCCGGTTACGTACCACGGATGCGGCAGCAGCACCGACCCGATTGTCAAGCGTCCGTGTTTGCGTGATGTTGCTGATTCGATGCCCGTGCTATTCAAGGAGGAATTAATTCCGAACGCTTATTCAAACCTGACGTCGTCGTCCAGCAGACAAAGTCGCAGAGACACCAAACGAGACACGATGCACGTTGTTCCGGTGGAAGGTAAGCACGGCCCTGTGTTTCTTGGTAGGAACATCATCAGCGGCAGTAGGTTTTCGTTCCGCAACGCTACCGGGGGCGGCGGCGAAAACCATGGCAAATCGCAGTCACAGTCGAAGACCGAGTCGCTGTTGCCCGAGCTGCGTGCCTGCACGTCGGTCACCGCCTCATGTTAACAGGACAGGAGAACATGGCGACAGACCTAATGTAAGCGGTCGGGTCAGTTGGGGATTTGTTCGTTTGTTTTCCGTTTCGCCTTTTGCCGTGCATCGGCGACTTCCCTGTACAGTATTCTGCTGCTGCTGCACAGCGACGTTCGAATTTGCCGTTTTTTACCCAATACTTACCTTAAGGAGTTTTACGCATTTGGAGTCGATCGATGGACGATCGTTTGTTCGTTTTTTGAAACTCAACCAGCGATTGTTACGGACCACTAGCCCCGCTTGCGGACGTTCTGCAAGCGTCGAAGATTTGACGTTCTCTAAGCCGCTATTCCGTTCTGTTTATCGTTTATCTTTATCGTTTTTGACGTGTTTCTTATTTTTTTTATCACGAATGTAGAACAAATAAATTTTTCCCTGCTTCACTTTCGACAGTGGTCGGTGATGATGCGGTTTCGATAGGCGATGCCATGTGCACATGTGCGTTTGGCTGTCTGGTGATCCGGATGGTCGAGAAATGTCGACGTCAAAACCGGTCGCAACGACGAAACGTGGTTGTTGGCTTCTGTCCGCACTGTGTCTGAAAAGCATGGCGAAGTCTAGTGAACAAATGACGACTATTCACCGGTGCAGAACAAAAGATTCACATTATCATTTCTTTATGGCTGATGTCATATAATACACAGAGAGTAAAATCTTTCGTCACTCTCTGATAAACGTGACGTTAGTCTGTGAAGAAGACAGTGACCACTTTTGGAGTATATCTTTTTCCCTGTAACACTTGAACACTTTAGGTTGTACTAGCCGATCTGCTAATGAATGTGTTTAAAACTGCCGCACTTGCTTATACTTGCAATTAACAGTTGAAAACTTTTCTGTACGACGAATCGTTACTAAACTGAAAATTATTAAAATCAAACATGTACAAGCATCTTCACAATCAACAGTCGCTTCCTCATAGGGACAACGTTATATGCTGTTCGTTATGTTCGGATGGTCAGTGGATTTCCTAGAGTAGATGGTTCATATGTGGTCGTGCGCGTCAGTGGATCAATCATCTTGCAGACATTTTCATTCCTTTCTGGTTATGCTGTCATTATAAAAACAGCGCCGAAAACTGGAAGGATCAAATACTTGTGCTCCATTAATTGGCTATGGTTTATGCGAGGGAACGAGGAGACTACCCGATTTCGGTTGAGGTTAATGACTGCCGTGACACCTCCTCGTCACTTCTCTGAGTATTTCGATTGAGCTATAACGCATCTGTTGTGAACGGAGGGTGGCCATGAAGAAAATTTGTCAACAAAGTTTTTATTTTTTTGGATCGTTTATCAAATCAGACCACTGTAATTCTCTGAACACTTTTTAATAGTCGTGCTGGTCTTCCATTCTACCCTCAGATGATTTTAGAAGTAGCTTGTTAAGATTGGTCCAATTATTCAAATCAGACGTTATTTCAGAGCAGCGGAAAAATGAAAATTTTAAGCTGTTTAAATTCCTCTACGAATAACGGTGCTTCCTCAAGTACATGTGGTGCCCTCTTTTTAGCTACTTTCCACTACAGTGGCACGGGCCTTATGTTTTTCATTAGGAGACATTATCTGCACCTAGTTGAAAACTATAGAATTTTAAACTCGTTCTTTGCCTCGTAGTAGTTTCTATTATCCACGTAAGGAAGACAAAATGAAGGTGACACGGTCTGAATGGGTACCCGGGCACTTTTTCTACTGACTGTGAGCTTTACAGGTTCCATAAGAGATAAGAAAATAGCATGTTTTCAACATTGTTCTTCAGATTTTCGTTGCATCGTCCAGTTGGGTAGCATCTTCGTTAAATTAGTATTAACGTAATTTCCTAACAGTCGTTTCATGAGGCAAGGTAAGCAGGTTCAAGAAATTCACAGTGCACGCGAGGCATAGCTGTCTAGGCGTGTGATACACTATCGTCGCGGTACCATGCACTCTTAACCTACTTGTGCGATGAACTGTTTACATTCAGCGGAGGTTCGAGTGCTTTTGACAAAAAATCTAACGTGCAGAAACTCAAATTTTACTAGGTGAAGAGTACAGGTCCCCTGCTGCAACGTGTGGACGTTGAATGGTTACGGTGACCTGGAAACGTCACTTGAATCATAGTGCGACACAAGCTAGTCATTTTTCAGCATCCTTCCAGTGGCGACAGACATTTTGAAAGACAATACAAAAAATAATATCACCTCGTTGAGGCATAACTTCTCGAGAAGAGTATAGCCCTTATCGCAGCAGTGCATGCCGCGTAGCTTCGACCTGAATTATTATCACTGCTAGTGGCATAACACAATGAATCTGGAATACTGTACTGCTTGAGCTCAGGCTCACATAACGTTGATTAAACAACAGTGACAGGACACTCCTACTCGAATTACAAACTCGGAATAGGAACGACTAATTATTTCGGTCAGCACTATTGGAAAAACGTCATGACATGCAATAACCGTCTATCTACAAAGCAAAAAACAACTATCTTGTAATAATGAGACCTGATAGTTCCGTTGGTTGAAGACAGTCGACGGTCAATCATTATCGGTGGCGAATAAGATCGCACTGCGATTGCTTATTTGTTATATATATATGCATTCAGAGTGCAAAGAAGAGAAAGTTTAACTATTCACTCCCCTACAAAGCCCGATTTAACTGCACGTTTGTTAGAGAAATGAATATTACACCTTTTCTGTTTCATTACAGTTTCCTTGTGTTTGTAAGGGAATTTTTAAAGTAAACTTTGAACTCAGTGCAAAGCAGCTACTGATTTCGTTTTATCCAGGAAGGAAGCAGACCGAAGACTCCTGATGCCCTGTATCAAAGGACTCAGATTTAAGTTCTACGAAGGTGGACGGATTTGCTAATCAGATTCAGTGCTCTTTCGATACTACCGTTTTAATTGAATCTAACTAAGCAGTTGTCAGTTGTTCAGCTGAAATTTCGGTAAAAAGACCGATAAAAGCTGACCAGCCTGATCAGCGGCTCGTATGCTAAGTACTTTCTTGTTCGTTTTGCATATGTTCAGCAATGGGGCACAGTAACAGTCGAATGTTCATATGGTTCGACTGTTTGCTCACCTCACCGCACTCACAAATTAGCGGTGCATTCGTCCGTCACTCGTGAAGAAGATAGAAGAGCCTGTCATAGCTGGCAACAAACATGGTCAATTGCGGTCCATTGGAGTGTGGGTACGTAGAAGCATTAGATCACCTTGACTTGACCTTCAGCCAAACATCTGCTTGAAGAAACGTCACTCATCTGGTCAACGGTTCAATCCAATACGTACTTATTATTTACTACGTCAACCACAAATGAAGAATCATATATGAGACCGGTTTCGTTGACTTCGCTCGGTAGGTGTAGCCAGCCTGATTTTCTGGTGAACTAGTCGGGACAATTTTGAGAATCTGATCATATTCAGGAACTTTACAAGGGTCGAGTTTGATTCAGTTTATTTCGGTGTTCGCCAGCATTTTCAGTCATCACGTTAACTGTGTTCGGTCAGGTTTTGAGAGTCTCGCCAACGGCACAGAACGTGGGATTTGCTTCCATATCCAGACATTGTACGAGGCGGCTGATGCTCCACTACAAGGCGCCATGTTCCGCCATGCCCAACTACGAAGCGAGTGTCAACATTAGGACCATACGAACATCACGCTTGATATACATATGATGTGCCATCGAGACTATAGGCTATGTCGATCTTAGATGATGAATTTTTTATGTCTGCTTTAATTGCTGCCATCCAAAGTAGCTTCTGGAGTTTTTTTAAGGAAACCCCGAATGGAACGTTCCTTTCTCGCTTGGCAAATGAACGTCATCCCGCCAAAGACATCTCACAGATGTTTACGATAAATCGTGTGGAGCAGCACGAGCCAATGGCGCAAAAAAGTGGACCCAGGGTAACGGAAACCAGTTGCCAGAAAGGTGAGTTGGCAAAAACTTCAAATTTTTCGATAAATAGTATTTCTACGTGTTTTGCTCCGTTTTAGTTCTGCATGGTCAACAGCTCTGAAGGATATGCGGCCGATCGTCTATCTACTTTCGCTCAGCCTCATTGAGGTACGTCCTTAAAACCGTTGTGTTTCCGGTACCGTATTTCCACTGCCCGCGCTGCCTCTTGCGTTAAGTTCTGATGCCAACAGATCTCAAAGCCAGCTAATCTTCTAGATAAAATAGCTGAAAATAAGTTGTCATCGTATGCAAATCGGAATACTGTGCATGTCTGCCAGGGTTTGAAGGTTGCTTAAACTTTTTAATTTTTTGCTGTTTTTTTCTAACAGTTGAATAGGGTACTTTGTTAACGTATTTCATGCTTAAAGCGGAGAAATGACGCCTTCTGTCGTCCCTTATGCCAATCGCTTGAAGTATTTGTTATAAACAATGCCACTCCTTCTCTTGGAAGAAATTCTCCTGTCACCTCTCCAGATCTCCGGGTCACATGGTGTAGTCGCACCTTCCCTTTGCTTTTCACATTTTTCGTAACCAGTTCTTGAATTCATTTTGACTCTGTGTCCCCTTTGCAATATAACGAGACAAAATTTCGATATTTCTATAATTTGTCTGAATATGCGACGATATTGTCTTAACGAAGGTGTCATTAAATGTGAATATATATCTTAGCGCTGCGATTTTTTGACGATTGGTTCAGCTTGTATCTTCAGAGGTACCGGGTTCGATAATATTAGTCTCTTCTGCTAATTCCCTTAAGTAATGAATTTTGTCTATGCTTGCTTTGACGCCATACTAGGTGAGAAACTGGTGGCAAATCGCTGTCGCTGAACCTGCGAACAACAGCAGTCGTGTAGACAGCATGGAAGATTGCTCTTGATCTCAATGAACCTGTTTTCCAGAAATTCAGCCTTTGCTCCTTCTGATTTATCACCTGAAACAGACAACGGCCAGCTGAAGAGATTGCAGCCACAGTGACATAAAATTGAGGGCGTGTTGCTTAACTGTGAAGAGAAAATCTCTGAGGAACCTGAAACGGCCGAGTAACGAGGCAGTGGTTTCCATGAGTGAATCGATTTGGTTTTGATTCTTAGGCAAATCTGTCAAAGGGGAGGATGTTCGATCACAAACCATGACAAAAAAATTGAATGCCGTCGTTCGGCTTTGTTGACGGATGATCTGTAAACAAGTCATGCAGAAGGTAAGGTTGAGAAAATGTGTGATAGTTAATGTGATATGAAAAGAGAGATGACAACGTTCGGTAGCGAAGACGTTGACGAAACTGGCGAAATAACGTCCCCCACACTTATATTACGGTCATCTTTCTTCTCAGTGGAGAAGGACATATTTTACTGAAGCTGTCATGACCAAAGACGCATTGTAGAGCCGTAGAATTTGGCAGGCCACAGGACGCCACGCATTAAGTTCATTGTTGGAAATTAGCTGTTCTTGTAGAAATATTTCCCCATAGATGATATTTCATAGTTGTACAGTTTAAACGCAAATTAAATGTTAAAATTAAATTATAATGAAAGAAACAAAGTTTGTAACTGTTGGAATGCCGGTCAATGTAAACTTTGAAGTTGGGGCGATTTTCGGCTACTTTTCTTTTGCCATGAAGTCAATGGTGGAGTGCCGATCTCGATTCCATTGCACCAAACAGTATTACCTTATTTTAAAGGCGGAGTCTATCTTAGCCACGTGGCAAGCATAGTCTGCAGTTTCCTCTTCTTTCCGACAAAGTGGTACTCATTTATCACCCCTGGATAGAAGAAAGTCGAGTGATTTGACGGGGGGATCAAACCCAAGATCTTCCGGTTCTAAGTCTGATAATCTACCGACAGTATGATCCAGATCGTATTGGAATAAGCAGCTTTATAACGGGGCGATGATTGATTCGCGATGGAAGAAGGCATTGTGCGCTATATTGCTTTGGAACGTCGCCGCAGCATTTTCGTTCCAGAATTGGTTCAGATCAGTCGATGAAATCAGATGCAATTAACGACTGAGATCTAAATTGACACAATGATTTAAGACGCCGGTTTTCAACCGAAACTTGCCTGAAAAACGTTTCGAAAGTCGCTCAAGCACGCTGCAATTAAGAACGGTATTTGGAAGCCTTACGCCCATGGACAGGTCTAATTTTAAATGAAGTACTCTTGATGAGGAAAATAATTTTGGAAAGAATTTTGGCAGCCATTAGAAAAAATGGGTCGAGAGCTTTACAGAACTCTTTGACAGACATTTTCGTGTGGTACAGTTCGACTAAGAAAGAAAGCAATGGAGAAGATCTGGCAATATTTGCTCCCCGCTATTATCTATCAAACTTGTCCGGAGGTGAATATGAAAATCTTGCGAATACGACAAGATTGATGTCAAAGCTAAAGCCTTAGCTGGATCCGCTGTTTTCCAGAAAATCTGGCAGAAGTCGATGATCGCTAAAAATTAGATGAATGCCGTGGTCATGCCGAACTTAGCAAATAGAAATCATGCTGAATGCATCAATTATTTCCCGCTTGTCGTATCCAGAGGAATGTGTTCGAACGGTTCCTCTGGGTACTGAAATATCTCACCGATCCTTCCTTGTGGATAATCGAGACTGAGGTTTGCATCAGGTACTGACTGCATGGATGTCTTGGAGCCAAAATGTGATTATAGACCAGGATCAAAACCTCTGATGCGATGCTGCAGTGGATGACGTTTCGTCGTTCGACCATGCACCGTGTTATTTTAGACTATGTTTAATGACACAATTGATGATAAACCATGTAGAATGTCTTTTTGAAGGGGCAAAATGCGCCGTCAATACGCAGGATAATTGTCAGACTAAGAAAGGTCATTACAGTTTGTCTAGGAAAAGTGCCCTCTCAATTATTGCCCTACATCACGCTGAGAAGGTTGGCGATGGATCGTCATTCAGCAACACAATCCAAGCTATGGCATTTCTAATAAGTGTTCTGAGTATGCCGATGACGTAGTATTACTGAGGAACTCCAAATTAATCTGTTGGTTTTATACGGAAGTGGGCGACACCTCCCTGGGCGTGACGTTACACCCAAATCCAAGAGTACAGAATTCATGAGTTCCAGTCATGATTGACACACCAAGAATACTGTGGAAAAAACGGCATCGAGTGACACCAGTGATTTTCAGGCAGTGGTAGTAAGATGTGAAGCTCATACAACTGACACAAGAACGAAGAAAATGGTCACAGTCGCGGAAGCAATCGTATTTTCCGTGCTCACTTATACCCTGGATGCTTTTCATATCCGGATGCTTCGTGAAGTTCTACTTCAGTCTGAGAAACCTGTGAGATTTGGTTTTTTGAAAAGGTTCCAGAAAGACAAAGGCAATGCGTCCAAAACTATGCCGTCGTCGAACCGCTAATCAGTGACAGATGCCTTGGAGGATAATAACAATGTTCAGATGCTTAATGGAAGCAGACCTGATTGCAAAAGCGTACATCGCTACTGCTGCATCAACGAACAACGTCCATGAAAATCTGAAATCACGTCTCAACAAGTCAACCAGACAGGTCCTAGTTTTGGCAACTCCATTCTCAAAAACTTTTTAGCTCCACGTGGCGACAACGAAAATAGCGAAAACACCTGCATTCTGCGAATTTTTCGACAGGGCATCGTTGCCGAGTGCAATTCATTAATCGAAGTTGACGTACGTGCAGAAGAAGAACAGGAAGTATGGAAACTTTGCGGCTATCCGGGAGTCGATCTCCCGTGCATTTCCATGACAAGCTTTTCATTCAAAATGAAGTATTTCAATGAATTTACAGTCTTTCATTCCGGTGTTCATCTCTTCATAAATATAATCAGCCGAAAGATGCCTGATTATGAGAAGAATATCTGCAGCGTGTGGCAAGCGAAGCGAGTACTCGCCTGTTGATGTTTCTTTAGTTTAATTTATGTTGGAAGATGTAGTTAAATAATCTGGGTCAAAACAGTAGTCACGGCTTAAATGCAAGTTCGACACCCAACCAATTAGGAAACCGAACGCGCAACAACAGGGCCGGTGGATTGTATATCAAGGAAGATTTACGGCCAGTGCATTTCTGCTTACTGCTCTACGTTTGGCGTTTGTTATCAATTCCGAAAAGGTTAACTCAGGAAATACTGATAATGGAAGAAAGAACATTTTAAATACACATCTATCTCAGAAATGGAAGACACAAAAACTGAAAAACAAGGAGTTAATTCATCCTTATCAAAATATTACGAAGTCACATATTTCCATTCCGCTGAGAGGCATTGATATTTGGATTTGCGCTGGATATATTCTGAGTTTGCGCAAGTGCACTACCTACTGTCAGAGGTAGTCAAAGCAGGGTTTTTTGCAATCTTGGCCACTCCTTAAACCAAGGAGGAATAAGTTATAAAACTATCGTTCACCTTAGAAAATCCAGTTGGAAACCTGGAAAAATATATTTAAATGAAGCGTTGTGGAACCCACAGCCGTGCTCTCTCTTCAGCCCAAAATTAAGTTTAAATTTAAAATTGAATTAATCTTGACTGAAGAAGGAATACCGTTGATGATTCCAAAACCTTTGCTAACAAAATTTTTCCGGGTTTCTAATCGCCTATGTTTTAATCTATTATCATTAAAAAAACTTTTTCTTTTCGAACTGAACTTTTACCTAACTAGACAGTTTATAAGTCAACTATAAACAGGTCGTTTCAGAAAGAGTGATGAGTAGTTCAAACGAATGACATATGATCGAAGGACACAACTGCTTATGCATTTGCCATTTCATTCATTCATTTTTTAGACTACGGTCAACTCAGCGAGACGACGCACCATTTACCACAAGCGAAAACAAATTAGTAGGTGGTTTTACGATTGTTAAGTTTCGTGTCACGAAAAATGAAGGGGCGATCGAAAACGTGCCTCCATCGATCTTCTTTGAAACAGGGAAGTTTGGCTGTTCCAATTCCGTTTGCACAATAGTATCGTGGAAACTTACGCACTCAGAGGTGTGGTCAGAAGCCGCTGTTTACCTCAAACTCTCAAACTGGACATCAGCGCTTCATCGAACTAAAAGCCAAAACATTTTTATTTACACAATCGGTGACGTCGGTTTCCGGATCCTGTAGCTTGCCAATAAACAAATCTCGAATCAGGGCGTTACCGTTTCGATTCACATCGGGGAGGCAAGCTAGGCGACTGTCGTTGTGTAGACTCGAAAAAAATTCCTATAAAAATGAGTCTTTTTCTTGAGCATCAACGACATGCGTGTGTCAGCAAAACCCTGTGGTCAAATCGAGCCATTGGCTGGTCGACAGCTATTTCATTACAGGCTTTATATCATGCGCAGCACTTGACATGTCGCTTCGCCACGTGGTCTAACGCCATGCTGAATTAAACAGTCGAGCTATAAAGCACTTACACGGCTAAGAAGGCTATAAATATTACTTT